GGGGGGGGGGTCAGAGGAAGCAGGCAGGCTGGAAAGAAGACCAGGTACCTTATGGCTAGGACTAGCAGGAGAGAGAGGCTTCCCTGTGAATTAGGGATTATGAATTAGGGATATGAATTCTTGGTTTGGGCCCAAATTTAGTGCAGCCTCTGGATCACTCCTGCATCCTCCCAGCAGATGGCAGTGTGAGTATGGGATCCAAGGAGACAGTTTCTGTCTTCACCAGCTGAGGATTTTGCAGATTAGAGAGCAAGAAGGGAAACACTATCTTTCTTGTCAAAGATTTGGAGATCAGATAAGGGGTCGTTTATCCTGCTGAAGGATCACCCGTCATCCTCATGAGCTGCTAAGTGGAAGCTTATGCAGGTATGGAGGCCGATGGTGGCGAGTCTCTTCTGTCTTTCCAGGTGTCCAGTCCACCCTGCCTTGCCCAGTGCTTAGGCTTCACATGGATCTTGAGGGTTATTAGGATTGGCAGCCTTCAGGGCACCTCTACACCAAGGAAGCCCACTCCTATATCGTCTGTTGGGTGGCTTACCATTGTCCTCAACTCTTAGTTTAGAGCTTCTTCTGGGTGGTTCTCCCAACTCCATTCCATTCTAGGTCCAGGGCCCTGCACTAGAGGTGTGTTGTGTGGGCCCTGAGCCTATTCCCATCATCCTCTAAGTCACACAGCTGCTGCCCCTCCCAAAGTGAGATTCCTTGTATACAAGCAGGGTCCAAAGTAGCAGACAGCTCTCCTCATGTTGACTATCCCACCCCACTGAGCCCTTGAGCCCTAGACTGCCCCCCTCAACCTGAATCATGAACTCCCACACATACAGCTCCTTCCTCTTGTCCTCAGCCCTTTCCCAGTCTCGGGTTCAGGATTCTGGATTCAGACTGAAGCACCAACATATTGAGCGTGGAGGGAAATAGCATATGGGTCACCAGAACTAAAATTGGGTTGGCCCAAGAAGAGACACCTTAGCATCCCTTGCCTTCTGCATGACCACTGTAAACTGCTCCTCTGGAAACTCCAGCTGTCCTTTGTCCGTCCGTAATATTGTAGAAAGAGCTAGGACTGTCAAGTGAGACATGGCTTCTGGTCTTCACTCTACCAGCTACCATCTATGAAATGGGGAAAATGATTCCTTTCACGAGTTCCAGTTTCCTCTTTTTAAAGAATGAGAATTTTAATAATATTTACTACAGAAGGTTGAGGGATCATTTGATGAGCTTCAACAGATAGAACCTGTTCTGTCCTCAGTAGATTGGCTGATAGAGACTTTCCAATGAAAAGACACTGGTCACGGCAGGTGTCCCAGATTGGTCATCCCCCAGGGACCTCTGTTATGGCTAGTGTAGAGATATCCCCCAAAGCCTCTTGGGGCTTTTCAGAGATGGCTGGAGCTAGAGTGCATGACGCTGGGATTGATTCATGGTGCAATGCTAGGATGAAGAAGAGGGTGAGCGCTACCCACCCTAAGGGTGAGTATCCTGGATAAGATATAAGACAGAAAGAGGTTCGTTGCTTGTTGCTTGCTGCTTCCTGCTTTGCCATGGACTGCGTCTCCTCTGTGATGCCCCTCTGTCAAGCCACCCTCCTGTGGAATCAGCTAACTATAGACTGAAACCTCTACAAACTGTAGGCCAAATAAACCTTTGCTCCCTTAGCTTTAGGTGTTGGGTATTTTGTCTCAGCGATGAGAAAAGTAACCAAGACAACCTCTGAAGATACTGGCATCTGGTGGTATCTGGCTTCTGGCTCTGTCATTAGCGCTCATCTCCTGGCTCTGGGCTTGGACTAGGTTAACTCAGAGAGAATGTCAAGGATTTTATTATTTGAGGAAATTCTGGCTGAGTAAAGGTTTTTTAAATCCAGGGTTTGGTGCGTCCTGCCTCTAGTAGGGCAAGATCCCAAGAGCTTGGGTGAAAGCTGGCTCCATATACCTAGTGACCCTCTTTGGCAGGTACTCACGCTTGTTGCAGCTGCGCTCAGTCATTAACTGGGCGGAACCATGCCTGCTTGTCTGGTTTTTCTCTACCAGTTATCAATGTTTTCTCCATGGGCTTTCCGTGGTTCTAGCTCCTTTTTACTCTTGACTTCTCAACTGCCGTAACCCTCTCTGGCCCTTCAGGGTTCATGACCCCATATTCCACTCTAATCTCTCTCTCTCTCTCTCTCTCTCTCTCTCTCTTTCTCTTTCTCTTTCTTTTTGTACCAGGGATCAAACTCAGGACCTTCTGCTTGCGAGGCAGGTCATGGAACCACTATGCTAAATCCCCAGCCCACACCACTATAATTTCTAGATACATCTTTTATTTCTTCTAGTTCTGTTAAAATTTATGTTTTTCATGTTTTATTACCCAGATTTCCATAGGCAAGAATATGATCTTTCATCTCCTGGTCAGGTACCAAGCTCTTGTCCAGTTAGCAGCATTAGGGGCTAGTATAGCATAATACTAGCTCCCTGGGAAAGACAATATCAAATTCTTTGATGGCATGCAAGGAGGCTGCTTCCAGCTGGAAAGGTTGGGCCTGCACAAGGGAGTCTGACTGAAGGGCAAGTCAGGGATGTGTCCTATTCTCATTCATTGGTAAATTATGCACCTTTCTATGAGGCTGCAACAACCCAGGAGAAAGGAGAAAGGGGTGTCTTTTGTAGAAGAGAAATGGCCCTATGATACATCAACTACTGATTAGCATGTCATCTTTTTATTACTTAGGACAGTGCATTTTTTTACCTCTTCTCCATTCCACTTTGTATCTGCTAGCTTCAGTGTATAACAAACCAACCTTCCTCTAAATTTGTGGCTTAAAATAAAAACCATTTATTATTTCTCCATGAGTCCATGGACTGGCTGGGTGACCATGCTAATTTGAGTGTGGTTGGATTGATCTGGGCTAAGCTTCTTCAATGAATCTCAGCTGGAAGCAGGATGATTCAGGATGACATCACTCAAAGGCTTGTAGTTCTGCTACAGGAAATTGGCTGGATGTCAGTTGGGAGTGCAGAGACATCTGGGCTACACATCTGTCGTTAATTAGCAAGCTAGTCTGGACTTGTGTACACAGCTTCTCGAGGTTCAAAGAAAACAAGTAGAAGCATGGAAGGCCTTTTTTGATGTAGGCTTAGAATTTGCACAATGTCTCTTCTGCCATATTGTCTTGGCCGAGTCACAATATCCACCCCAGATTCAAAGGATAAGCAAAACTTCTTTGTTGGGCATGGTGACACACGCCTGTAATTCCAGCACTAGGGAGGTTGAGGCAGGAGGATTGTCAGTTTGAGGTCAGCCTGGGCTACATAGCAAGAACATCTTTTTAAAAAGCAGGGGATGAGACTTTTGATGGAATATATTCCAAGCCACATTGTCAAAGGAAAAATAAAGAAAGGCTAACTTTCAGCCATTTTTGCAATTTATCACACACCACCAACTCAGCCATGATGTGATATTCCACTGCAGGCAAAGAGGAGGTGACCAGAAGGGGACCTATGACCAGTTCAAGAGAACTCTTGAGAGCAGGAACATATGGGACTGTTTCTTAGTTTTGTTTTGTTTTTTAATTTGGATCTGTTCTTAGATTTGGATTCTTAGAAGTAGGTTCAACAGGGTGAGGAGAGGGTGCATGGGGCTTCTTACTCACTATATGTCCTTGTCTTTGTTCTCACAATTTATGTAACATGAATGTGCATGGTTGCCAATTCCTCCCTGAAATTTAGAACACACTCTTAGCTGCCAGGGGAGGAGATCAGGAGGCTCTGATATCTCTGGGGAGGGCCCAATCAATACTGACCTCTGAATTTCTCAATCTCCTTCCTTCACATACATATGACTCCTATTTCTTGTCCCTATCCTACTTAGAAACCTTTGCCTATAGGCACAAACTTGACCTTGTCCTTATCCAAATTGCTTTACACATGAAACCTTATTTTTCAGAATTTCCGGTGACCAAAGCCTCATATTTATTTTGATATTCATACTTCCTTGCCTGCTTCTTCTGTTCTTGGCCTAATTGTGCTTGGCAGTAGCTCAAGTCCTCCTTTTTCCAGAAGTCATTCAGTCTTCTCCTGGCATTATTTCCTCACTATCCTTTTACGGATCTATTACATTTACCACCGTCTTGTCAACACACTCAACTCCACTGACCTTTATTTCCCCACTGCCATTGTTAGTGAATTCCTAATCTTAGATCAATCCAAACATCCATCTTCCTTGTTCCTGCACACAGGGAGCTGAGTGCCCCTAGGGGTGGGTAACTTCCCAAATACATAAACCAGACTCCCACAAATGATGGTACCTTTTCTGCCAGGCCCTAATACTACCCACTCATCCCTCTGCTGGTCCCTGTGTCTGTCTCCAGCTTCTCACAGAAACTATTTCAGAATCCATTCTCCTTTAACCTCCTGCTGCACTACCTGCCACTTCACTCATTATTTTTAAAAAACCATAAGAAATAGAAAGCTT